ACCTTTAATGATCATAAGATCGACCCTTCTATCAATACCACTCTTATTTGCTTAATCCCCCAAAACAAACACGCTTCTTCAATGTCCCAATTCCGCCCAATAAGCCTTTGCAATACTATTTACAAAGTTATTACAAAAATTATTGTAAATAGACTAAAACCGATCCTGGAACATCTTATCAATCCCACCCAATCTAGTTTACAGAAAAAACTACGAGCTGCTGATAATGCAATTATTGTTCAGGAATTAATGTCTCATTTTCGTAAAATGAAAGAAAAAACTCCATACATGCTTCTCAAATTAGATCTTGGGAAAGCTTTTGACCAACTGGAATGGTTATTCATACACCACACACTAGTTACACTGAATTTTCCCCAAATTTTATTCAACTGATTATGTCTTGTGTCACAACCACCTCCACCTCAATCCTAATCAATGGGAACCCTACTGAATATTTCAACCCAACCAGAGGCATCCGCCAGGAAGATCCACTATCGCCATATTTATTCATCCTCGGTCTAGAAATGTTTTCCCGCAAAATAAACACGGCAGTAGACTATTGTGCTTGGCAGCCCATCTCCCTAGCTACTAGAGGTCCGTTAATGTCCCATTTGTTCTTTGCCGATGATATTATTCTCACTGCAAAAGTTACACCCCTTACATGCGAATCAATCATCGACACTCTTAATCATTTTACTACCCACTCTTGCCAAACTATAAATTTTCATAAATCAAAAATATTCTTTTCCAAAAATTGCTCAACAACCACCAAAACATCAGTGCTCAATCTTTTCCATATGAACGAAGGGAAAACTTTTGGCAGATACTTAGGCTTCCTCATCTTTGTCAAGAAACCCTCAAAATCTGATTTCCAATTCCTATTGGACAATTTCAAAAACAAACTTGCTGGATGGAAAATAAAATTCTTGGCTAAAGCAGGTCGTACTACTCTCATCTGTTCTACCCTTAACCACCTACCAAATCACATCATGCAATATCTCACAATCCCCAGCCATATCCTTTCTCATCTCACTCGCTATCAATAAAATTTTCTATGGGGCACAACACCCCAGAAGAAAAAATTACATCTCATAAAAAGGAGTATGGTAACCCAACCAATAGACCAAGGAGGTTTGGGCATACAAAACCTTGCCACAAAAACTAAGGCTCTATACGCAAGCCTTGTCTGGTGACTTTTCCAAAATCTAACCCAAGTATGGGCATAATTCCTCCTTAACACATATATACGATACAAACAACTGCGCAAGCATAATGCATCATTTATTTGGCATAATATCCTCCATGGTTGGTCCTACTGCTTCCTAGGTTACAAATGAAATCTCGCAACTGGCCATCACGTCAAATTTTGGACTGACCTTTGGCTAAAACAAAATATGCTCTTTCGCTCTTGCATCTCTGGTCCACTACTGTCCCGTGAGGAGCATAAACTAGTCTCTGATTACTATTACAATCATGAATGGCACTTTGTCAGCCTACCATTTGACTTTCCAAATAAATTAAAGGCACTCATGAAAAGTACCTATATGCCTTTTATCCAAACAAATTTTGATCAAATTTTCTGGAGCCTTACCAAGGACGGCCATTTCTCTGTCAAATCCAGCTACCAATCGCTCATTCCAACTAACAACCAGCACCCCTCATACACATGGATTTGGAAACTCCCAATTCCACCAAAAATATCTTTTTTTCTCTGGTTGCTATCACACAACCGACTCCCAACTGCTACGTATCTCTCACGATTAAGTATCATATCATCCCATATATGTACTCAGTGTCATATGGCTCCAGAAACAGCGAAACACTTTTTTCTTGAATGCCCTCAAGCTACTCAGTTGTGGGCTTCTCTCAAATTAACAATACCACTCCAATGTTTTGCTCCAACTCACGCAAACCATAAAACATAGCACTACAGGCTTATACATACGCCTCTACCCTCCACTCCACATGACATCCCTCCAACTATCCTCTTCTCTTTTGCTCTATGGCACATATGGTATATAAGAAATAAAAACACACTGGAACATAAAAAAATTCCCATTAATATTCCTTTGCTAATCACTACAGCAGCTGAATACTATTTCCTAACTCACAACAGTCGAAAAAAACATTCCCCCACTCCTTTATACATCAAATGGCATCCCTCACATGCTACTTACTATAAACTCAACATCGACGGCTCTGCCTTATCAATGCTCCAAAAATACGGAATAGGAGGTGTCTTTCGTGACTCACAGGGCCACTGGATCATGGGCTTTGCCGGTAAATCACACCAAGCTACCAGTGTCCATACAGAACTCCTTGCGCTACTCATGGAATTGCAAATTGTTGTGCGCAACCAACTACCACCCATCGTCATTAAGATAGATGCACAGGAGATCATTGGTATGCTCACCACACCTAATATGCATTATACTAACATTATTAATGACTGCAGGTTGTTGCTTCTACATCTGGGTAGTCCGCCTATCCACCATGTCTACAGGGAGAAAAATAGTATCGTAAACAGTCTACCTAAATATGGAGCCAAACATGCAGATGGTAGCAGTTGTCTTCTTTTTGCAATACCACCACCTTTTGTCTAGTAATTGCACCATCAAGATCAAGTAGGAACAACTCACCGGAGGCTCGTTAACGAAAAGTTTTCCATGAGCTCCTCAACGCCAACGACCTCTTTTCTAAATAGTTTTTGTAGTAATGATGTTTTGGTTTGTAATGCACCCGTTGTAGGTGTGCATGTAGTAAACTCTAATAGGACTAGTTTAGTTACTTCGATGCCTATAGCGTATCCTGCTCCCTGTACTGATGCTCACTCTTAATTTTTATTAATATAAGTACTTCCTTATGACCAAAAAAAATATACCTAGAGAATCATTCACGAATTGAAATGTTTATCATGTTCATCTTGTAAGTTCAATTTAGGAGAAATTCTTTCCTTGGAAAATGACTTCAATGGAAATAGTTTTCCAGAAAGATATTTTTCGAAAAGTTATTTCCGGTGTTTGGTTGGTTGTGGAATTTTTTTTCAGAAAAAATATATAAAGACTAGTAATAATATTAGCAAGTCAAACGTGTAAACTTTTGAGTGTTCAAGATTAATAATAATAATAATAATAATAATAATAATAATAATAATAATAATAATAATAATATGTAGGTGCTAGTTATAAGAAAAATGAGTTTTGGAGGAGTTTGCCACTTTAGCTTGCTTTCCATTTTAAGAAAACATTTTCACTTTGACCATATTACGTATGTTAGGCAATGTTTAAATTGTTTCACGTTAACTTGTAAATGGTACCAAAAACTTTATAATCGGCCTAAACAACTTTTTTTTTTTACTGAAAATAACAATATTAGATAATTTACCTCAAATAATGATTATGAAAAGACAAAACGTTTTGAATTCATATTTTTACCTGTATTCTTCAAATTACTATGTCAAACCTTAACATGTTACACATACATCTATGTAATTTTATAGTTATGCTGAGAAAAAAATCTATTTTTTTTTTTGGTAATTCTCTCGAGCAATTAACTTCTCTATATTATATATCTAATTTTAAAGAACGAGCCAAACACAAATAAAAAATAAATTATGTATTATTAATTCATCCGTAACTAATCTTTATGTTATAATTTATGTATAACTTGTATTTCGTGCCAAAGGACATGTTACATATTACTATTACTAAT